AACCATTATTTTCTTTCATTCTGAAATTGTGTAAATAAATTTTTGAATTTTTGTTGCTAATACTAAAATTATTATTACTAATAAATTATTCTAATTAATTTTTTAACTATGCTCATTATTTTGTTATTTCGGCATTATATATGCTTAAATACTTTTTATTTTTTAATTTATAAATAATATTTATTTATTCTATAGGTAAGTTCATAATGGAAATTAAAAAGGGAAAAATCATAATTTAAAAAGTTTTAAAAAAATAACAAAGAGGATAAATGTTTATAATTTAGAGGGTAAAATAGGTATTTGACACTCCAAAATTTGGAAAATCTGGTTGAGTGACCTTCTGAGTGCAACAGGCATAGTTCAGTGATTTTGTTGTTACAAGTGAAAGAAAAGTGACTTAAGGAGATAAGTTGGGATAGTTGAGTGACCATTTGAGTAATGGACTCAATGAATTTGTCCTTAAAGCAAGAATTCACGCCATAATAATTAGTGTATTATTCCCTCCGTCCTAATTTGTTCGATATGATTGGGATTTCGAGAGTTAAACTTCTCAATTTTAACTGTAATTTAGACCTAAAATCTTTAAGTTTTTAAAATAAAATTTACAAAACTACATAAAAGTACTATACATTACAATAAATAAATATTTAAAAGGCATATAAAAAAAATATAGTAAAAGAGAAACTCGTTTGACTCTCGAATGAATTACGTGAAACAAAGTTCCATATTAGTATTAGTTATCCCATGTTATCAGGGGCGGCTGAAGGGCCAAGCAAATAAAGCATTTGCTTTAGGCCCCAAGCTCTTAAGGGCCCAAAATTTTTATGTAGTAATTAATTTTATAGCTTAATTCATAATTTATTTTATTATTTTGAAAGTTTTAAAGTATTAAAGTAAACAAAAAAAACCCGATTCATCTTTATATCAATTACTCCCTTCATCCCAATATAAGTGACAGTGTTCGGATTCTGAGAGTTAAATAAATTATACTTTGATCGTATTTATTTATATGTCTTTTTTAAATATTACAAATAATTAATTTTTGTGACTTATAGTACTTTTATATAGTTTTTAAGTATGTAAGTTTTATTTTAAAAAATTTAAAGATTCTATATCTAAATGCACAGTCAAAATCAAGAAGTTTGAATCTCGAAAACAAAAGTGTCACATAATTTGAGACACGGAGAATATTAAGTTATAATTTTTAGAATAAGATACTATTGTTATAAAATTTTGTTATGTTTCAACATGATATCTTCTATATAGTATATTAATTTTTTGTTATACACTAGCTAGAATTTAGAGTATCAGCTAAAAAATATGAATTTTGATCAAAACTCAAAAAAGCAAATGAGATCAACTGAAACTTTGATATAATCTCTTAAAGGTGCTCCTGTTGATTTTTTAACTAATAATAAAAAATTAATTAATAAATATGAGAGAGTATTTTTTTAGAAGAAAAGGATTATTACAAAGAATTTGATTATAAAATATTAATTAATAACTTTGAATCCCAAAAATAAAAAAATAAAAGTTTAAGGCCTCATAAATAATTTTGGCTTTAGGCCACTATTGTAGTTGAGCCGCCCCTGCATGTTATATCAAGTGTATAAGTTAATACTGATACAAAATGTGGTACAAATTAAAACTGCATTAATTATACGAATAATGGAATGACAATCAAACAATAAAGATAATACCAAATTGTATTAGGATAATTTTGTTGGGTTAGCTAATTTTGGCATGATATGTGAGAGGGAGAACCGAGTAGCTTTAAGAGTAAGCTACACGTACGGTTACTCGGCTTAAAATTAAAGTCAGCGTACATAATATGCAACTAACTACTCTTCTTCTCTATTTATATATACGATCATGTTTCCTTATTCCCATACGGCCATTGTCTTTTCCAACATTCCACTTTTAACTTATATAAGGAGAATATACCAGTGATCTTGCTCTTTGCTATATATCTCTGTTTCAAAACATGTTGATGTTTTCCTTTAAAAATAATACCGCACCATGTAAGTGAAATTTATTCTTTCTGCTCTTACGTTTGCTTGCTTTTCTTCCTCCTCTATTTCTGTTGGTTCTAACTTAATTCTAAGTTGAAAGTTTATGCGGTTTCTCCATATCCTTGATATTTATGAACAAGAATGAGTTCTTATATATTGATAAACACTTAATAGTATAATATAAACTCCCATTTGGTCATAGATTTGCCTACGTTTTTTTTAATAAACAAAACTTTATATTTCAAAATTCAAAAACTATTTTTTCGAGTTTCAACCAAATCTATGTCCAAAAGCTAGTCAAGTTTCAGCAGCTTTCGTCTTCAGCGGAGTAGAATGATGCGAATAATTGCTGGTATATTACTATATACACAAAACAAAAAGACCAGTAACAAAAGTTTTAAAGCTTTGAGCATCTTTCCAAGTCTGAGGGTGTGTTTGGTACGAAAGGGAAAATGTTTTCATGGAAAATGAGTGATTTTATCACTTATTTTCCCTTGTTTGACGGGTGAGTTTCTAGTGTTTGGTTAGAAAGTAGAAAATATTTTTTTTAGGAAAATATTTTTTTATACTACTCTCCTCACCCCTCCCCCTCCCCCTTCCCCCGAGTCTCTAAAAATTCACACAAATCCAAAGGAACTAATGTGTTGCTTTACTTTTTTACGCAAAAATAACGTTGAAATTGATGCTCAATAACTAAAAAAAATACTCTTTTTTTGGTTGGAAAAGAAAGTACTCTTTCGACAACATGAAAATAAAGTACTCATTTTATTAAAATAAAATAAAATACCTATTGTACATCATAAAAGAAAATACTCATTTTGTTGAAATGACAAAAAAAAAACTTTTTTTACATCAGAAAATAACTTTTTTTTTTAATGAAAAAAAATAATTTTTCTACATGAAAAAAAAGTATTTTTTTTGGTTAAAATGAAAAAATTACTTTTTATATGATTGAAAAAAATACTCATTTGTTGAAATGAAAAAAAAACTATCTATAACATGAAAAAGAAAACTATTAATAATATTTTATTAGGTGAGGTGGGGTGGGGGTGGATGGGGTGGAGTGGGTAGGTGGGGGCGGGGCGGGGTTTGGAGTTGGGTTCGGGTGGGGGGTGGTGGGGTGTGGATTTGGTTGGTGGGGATGGGGAATAGGGTACAGAAGGTTGAGAAGTAGTTTTGAAAAATGTTTTCCATTCTTCTAATAGGGAAACCGTTTTTCTATAATAGGAGAAAAATGAGTTAATGACGAAAATATTTGAAAAATTGGAAAACATTTTCTTCGTACTAAACACACTCTTAGCTAGTGTTTGGCTATAGATTCCCAAATTTGTTTTGAAAAATCTGATTTGGGTGAAAGTTGGTTTGAAGATGAAAATGTGTGACGTACGTTTTCAAAACATCATTCCTAAATTTATTTTGGAAAAATATGTATATTATTAATGTTTGTAAAGATTTTGGCCCAAAATTAGCTATTGAGTTGGTATTTGGATTTGGGATTTTACCTCTTCCTAAAAATTTGTCAAGAACTATTAACTGCTATCACATTATTTATATAGTCATAGGCAAATTCAGAATCTTCAGAATGAGAGTAATCTTATTGTATGTATGTACTTTAAAAGTTTTTGCATATTTATACACAAAACAGTGGGTTGAACCCACAGGAATCGTCCTATATCCTCCTCTAATTACATATAGTAGTATGATTTCTCATAGTTGTCTTCTTCCTGTTTGTTTTATGTTTCGACTATGTTTTCTCCTGGTTGATTATAATTTTTTTGTAGAACAATTTCTTTGGTTACATAATTAATATAGTCATTGATTGTTTTCTCTCATGTTCTTTTGACAGCTTCAGGCCTCTTTAGCAGTAGCAACCTATTTGGTTCTACATCCGGAATTCAACAGAATGGGAATCCTTCTGTGCCATTTGGAACCTCACCGTCTTCTTTCGGTGGTAAAACCTCGATTATTTCTTTTCTTTTTTGCACAGTGATTTTGGAATAGGCGATTGATTTCTCAACTTGAATATAAAGGACTAGATAGATAGATTATTAAAGTTTTAAAGCTTTGTGCAATCTTTCCTAGTCTAATCGGTTCCTTCTTAAAGTTTTGTCAAGCATCAATCGTAACACTAATAGACTATTCATTCATCTTCTGTGGATTTAACTGCTATCACAATATATACATAGTCATAGGCGAATTTAGAATCTATAGTTAGTGATAATCTTATTATACGTGTCTAAATGTTTTTTGCATATGTATACATAGTTTGAACAAAAAAATTATGGGTTGAACCCCGTTCTATATCCCCCTCTAATTACATAGCATGATTGTCTTCTTCCTGTATGTTTTATGCTTGGGCTACTTTTTCTCCTGGTTGATTGTGATAGTTGTAGAACAACTTCCTTGGTTACATAATTAACAAAGTGATCGACTGTTTTCTCTCTTTTGACAGCTTCAAGCCCGTCATTTAGCAGCATCAATCTTTTTGGTTCTACATCTGGAATTCAACAGATTAAGAACTCTAATGGTAATCCTTCTGTGCCACAATGGTTTGGAAGTAGTGGAGCGACCTCATCAGCATCACTACTTTCTCCCTTTGGAAGTTCAACGTCTTTTGGTGGTAAACACTTTAATATCACTCGATTATTTATGCATAATGATTTTGGAATAGGTGATTGATTTCTCCAAGAAAATCCCACAATCTGCGTATTGCTATGAAAATTTTCAGCTTGCTTGATCATATCCAATCCAAAAATATTTCGTTCTGCAATTTTCTCAGAAAAAGTCACTTGTCACCATATCATCAACACGTTTTTTTTCTTCTTTGTGAAACTTTTTGCAGTTAAATTGCGTCTCTAGCTTGATTACGGTGCATTATTATGTCTTAGGGCAGCCTGGTGTACAAAGCATCAGGGTCCGAGGAAGGGCCGCACCCCAAGAGGGTGTGATGTAAGCAACCTACCCTGATGCAAGCATTAGTGGCTGATTCCATGGTTCGAACCCGTGACCTATAGGTCACTTCCAAGGCTCCCCTTTGTATTATTATGTCTTATCAAATGAATTTTCTTCCCCATCTCTGTCCAAATCTACCAGTGTTATCAAAGGCGAAAAGCGCAAAAAAGCTCTAGGGTCCGTTGGGGCTTTAAGCGCAAAGCGCAAATAAAGCGTGAGCTTTAAAGAAAAAAGGCGCAGCTGGAGAAAAAGTAAAAATATGTATATGTAGTCCAAGACTAATAATTATAGGCATGAATCACAAATATATGGACAAAGAAATTGAAAAAAAATTACGATAAAGTGAATATCAATTGTTTAATATCGCCTTTTCAGGATTACACTCATTGACAAGAAAGTATGTCTTAGAGCCTTGATGCGACATTAAAGCGCCCACAAAGCGAGGCGAAGCGCTCAACATGTTTTGAGCCTCGCTTCAGGGCTTAAGCGCGCCTTTGACAACACTGAAATCTCCACTCAGAAGAAAGACCACTCAGGCTATTTTGGATGTTGTTGCATGCGAATGAACTAAAGGCACCTTTTGACTATGCTTTTCCATGGTTTATCTACTAAATCTTATAACATAATATTCTCTGTCGCCTATGGCGCAGGTGAGGATTGGTACAGATGCTATACTTAATACTGCCGATTTCATGAAAGCAGAGTTACCATTTCTTCTTTGACAGAGCAGTGAGGTGGTATATGGAATTGGTTGAAAAAATAAATCTGCTCCATTGGGAAAAGTATCTATGCAATGAAGTGGCATAGAGCTCTACTCTTTTTCCAAATGTTAGTAATAACTGCAATATCTCAGTATGGTGGGTAATGTTTCTTGCTTTACTATTTCCCGAGAAGTTATTCAACCAATCTCATGCCTGCTACTGATGCTTGTAGTTGTCTTTAGTGATTAGAGAAATCAATTCAGTCTGCTTCTGGAACTGCAGGAACCACATCCTTTAATGCAACAAACAATGCTACAGCTTTTCAAACACAAGGCAAATCTCTGGGCTCGTCGTCCACTTTACCAACATTTGGAAAGAAATATGAAGGTAATAGCGTGGCCTATAAACCTCTGTTGTGGTCCAGAGATGCCAGTGTTTCAGACTCCTCAATATTTGGTTCCTACTCCTTCGGCCAGCCAGCAGTATCCACGCCAGGTGAGCAAAGGTTTACATTATAAGTATTTCTCAGGTACTAGAGCAGATTATTCAACATTTGGGGGGAGAATTTTGTTTTGATATAAGATAAGATACCATTCAATGTGCATTACTACATGCTCCATATAGCTCTGAAGTCTATGTTGAACTTTTATTAAATATTTATCGATTTCTTGATCAAATTTGGAATCCAGGTAAAGTAGTTACTACACCATTGCTCAAGAGCTCTGATTTTGGAAAGTCAGCTTTCGGTATTAATAAGGAAGGAAGTAGAATGGCATCATACACTGCAACTAAAGAGAAAGAGAGCAAGGAAAAGATTCAATCCATTTGTGGCATGCAGACTTATGAAGATAAAAGCCACGAAGAGTTGAGGTTTAAGGACTATCAGTTAGGGGATAAAGGTACGCTAAACTTGTTTTCTTTATCTTTAAATAACAAGCAATTCTACCTTAGCTTTATATTTCATGTGCGAATTTGCAGGTCAGACATGTGCTTCTATATTTGGTGTTTCAGGCACATCTAAATTTGGTGTCATTGACAAATCAAGGCCTTTCACATCACCAGTATTTAACCCATCGACTGTTGATCAACCTTTTTATTCTCATTGTCCAAATCCATTTGCCTTGAAAAGACCAGGGATTGACTTACTACCAAATGAGAATTCTAGCACAACTTCATCTACCCCATTATTTCCAAAGTCACAGCAGTCAACTGTTTCCCATATATTTCCCCCCAAAACATCATTCTTAAACTCAGATGTTTCTTCTTCTCCATGGACCAATTCAAGCCCTTTTGCACCTTTAAAAGCGGCTTCCACTTCTTCCACTAACTCCATCTTTTCTCCGTCATGTTATCCATGGGCTTTATCAACGTCTTCTGTTCTATTGTCTCCACCATCTACTACTTCTCCGTGTTTGGTCTCACCTTCCCCAGCCCATCATTTTGATCAGAATCGCTCTTTCTCTCCTTTTAACTTGCCCACCTTACCTACTGTATCACCGCCATCCCTTCTTCCAACTCCTGTCTCGACTACAGCACCAGCTCAATCATCCTGGCAGTTGCAGCCTACTTTACCAAGCCTTTTTAATGTTCCAAGCACACCATCCTCTTTGTTTCCCACATTCGTTCCACTTGCTCCTACTCAAATTACTGTAAGTGATTCTCAACCTGTATGGAATTAGATCTTATTTATATACCTGTGCCATTTGCTTTCTGTTGTAAATAAATTATATCCCACATTGTGGTCTCGGTGGAGAAAAGGAGAGAAAAAAAAAGTTTGGCCACTTCTGTTGTGGGTAGTGGAATAATTCTTTCTGGTGTTGTACGTTTAAGTTGATTTGCATCCACTGTTCTTTGTTCCTCTGCAGCCAGAAAGGACTCCTAATATTGAAGCAAGGATTTCACCCGCCATCTCTTCTCAGCTATTGACAGGTACTTACTTCACAATGTTTCTTCACATTGATAATATGTTGGATTAACAATCCATGTCAACTAATCCCCACCCTGGCTGCTGTTTCTTTCAGAAAATGGACAAGGAGTTGGTCATCCGGGTATCAATGTACAACAGTGAGTAATCAAACTTAGCTATCCTTTTGTTTTGTTCTCTTGTTAAAATGCCTACTTTTGGCTTTCAGAATTACCTGTCATTATTTTGATTTCTGCTGCTTTAGTAAAAAGTAATCTACAGTTGTTGTCTTAGCCTTTATTCATCTTCTTTTTCTCTTTTTCTTTTCCTTTGTGATCCTTGTATTACTTCTTGCTTATGCACTAGCTGATACCTTAACCTGTTTTCAGGTCTTACTCTCCAAGCATCACAGGATTGCAGCCATCACCAATTATGGTTCCTTCTGAAACACAACCTGCAGTCCAGGTATTCGTTGGACGCCCAGATTCGGCAACATCCGTGCAGTATGGAATATCAAGCTTACCTGTAAGTTTAATTAACCTACGCTTCTGGACGTGTTCATTGGTCTCCAAAATGTATCATACTAGTATGCCTCTTTAAAATAACTTGTATGGTCATTCATTCTATGCTCATTCGCAATAAGATTCTTTTCACTTTTAGTATGTTGCATTCATTATTTTTTTCCTACCAAGGTAGAAGTACCTCCCTAAGCATGATCTGGCCTCTAGATTCTGGCTTTGGCTTTTCATTTGTTTAATTGCATCAAATAGGTGTGAATAATAATTTCCAGAATTGCATCAAATAGGTGTGAATAATAATTTCCAGTATTTCTCCAATGAGCATGCACAAAATAAGTGTCCAAGTTCCAATCAGACCCTAATAAGTATCAGCTTTATTATGTTTTTATAGCCATGATTTTTGAAGTCATATTGTCTGTTTAAGGTGAAAATAGATGTTGTAGGTTCTTATGAACAATTCTCTTTGGTTGCAATTACAGGTTTCTGACAAAACTGCTCCGGTCAGACGGAGATCCTCGTTGATAATTCGACATTCATCTCTAAGTCGGCATAGGTTGCCACCTCAAAAATACAATCCTACTAGTGATAAACCAAAGGTGAGAAGTAGTATTGTTTATCTGGAAAGAAATCTAGAGTGCAATAATAGATGCTTGTGTAGGGAAAAAAGCAAAGAGATCATATGCAAAATGCAAGTTATTGGTATTCAATTATCAGCTCAAAATAAAATATTGGAAAATCTAACAGGACTATTAATTTCTGTTTATGCAGGTTCCCTTTTTTATGGATAAAGAAAACGCTTCTGGCATAGTAAGCAACAAAAATGTGATCATTTCAAGGGAAAATCCAAGGGATTGGGTTCGTCCTACCACTAGAGAATTTCCTTTGGGCTCTGATTCATGTAGATTGTCTCAACTGAAGCATGCATCCGCGGATGGTAAGCTTTCTTTATTAATGTACTTTTGCATGCCTTCCTTTCACCTCTTTTATTAGATATAGGAGCTGATCAAATCCAAAACATGTTCAACACTAAAATCAAAATCTATTTTTCACCAAGAGGCTGTTAGATTGAGACATTTAGCTTTCGAAACTATTGTTCAGCTGGAGATGCGTATATCAATTATCATAAGTTCAAAACTCTGAATCTCTAATAGTTCAAATTAGCACCAAATAACTTCACAGATTAGATTTTGTTATCTATTTTTGAGTATATCTAAGATATATAAAGAAGTTGACTTGCTATTAGAGTTGCAATGGGAGTAAACGTAATTTACATGAAAAAGCAAGAGAAAAGGGAAAATCGTTTGTATACAAATTTCAAGCAGATATATATAGAGGCAGTAACACTATCTGTTCTCCATATATAGCTATATTTATCTGCTTGAAGTCTGGAGCATTTTCCCACGTCTGTAGACATCAATGCATATTCTAGTTTATAGTGTAATTGAATTGCTTATTACTTGATTAGTTTTTTCAAGTTTCTAAATTCCTTTTCTTTCTTTCTTTTTTTGTGAAAATGTAGGGATGGACGATGGAGTCAAGGTTAATGACAGTTGCGACAAGCCTAACATAGCTCCAGAAGAGAAGATGCATTATGATAAATCTGGACATTGTGTCCAAGTTTCACTTGAAAGTGAGGATGTTGACGCCATAATGCCCAAGCTCCAACTCGCTGATTACTACACAGTTCCTCCTATGCAGGAATTGATATCAAAGGAGAAGGAAGATCCTGGTTTCTGTTGCCACGTGAAGGACTTTGTGGTAGGAAGACATGACTATGGAAGCATCAAGTTGTTGGGAGAAACAGATGTCCGGAATCTTGATCTTGATTCTGCTGTCTATTTTAATCGTCGTGAGGTAATCATCTATATGGATGAGAGCAAGAAACCTCCGGTCGGACAAGGCCTCAACAAGCCAGCTGAGATAACTCTCCTTAATGTCAAATGCATCAACAAATCGAAGGAGTACACAGATGGACCAGTGGTTAACAAGTACAGAGATATGCTTGTTAAGAAAGCAATGGAGCAAAGTGCAGAATTTGTTTCTTATGATCCAGTGGAAGGGCAGTGGAAATTTAGGGTCTCACACTTCTAGATTAGTTTACAGCTTTTGCTTTAGTACAGTGTTTTGGTTTTGGTAATATTAAGGTCTATCAGTTCAATTGTAACTGATAGTATATTATACAATTTTCTCATGTTGTTCAATGGTTCTGATCATTTACTATTCCCAGTAATGTATATTTTACCATATTTGCAGTATAATTATGTTATAATCTCATTTATACTTCATTTATTTACTAATCGATAGATATCCATCTTATCAGCAACTAAACGTGCCCAAATGTTATAAAGGCGATCTTGTTGAACTAGCAACATCATAATTACCTTGATGTTTTCTTGAAGACTTTCGAACCATTTGATTTATTTTATGAAAAACAGTGAGTATTTGTTTTTCAAAGTGTTTGATTAAGCACAATATCAAAAGGAATTGACCTTTTGAAACATATGGCCCTAAAACAATTCGTGAAATTTATGTTGCTATATAATTATGACATTAAGAGTAACATTGAAAGTTTATACTATATAGTTATCTATTTTGAATATAAAAAAGGTGTTTTTCTTTTTTAAAATGGTTAAAAAAAGAAAGAATGTCACATAAAAATGAAAAATATGAGTATATCTGTTTGAATATAATTTCGAAATAACTGGTTTTATAACCTTTTCATAGTTTCTTCTTTTTGACTGTTTGGATTTGGTTTTGGGAGAAAAGATATTTTTCAAAAATATAAACCTAATAAAACCTGCTTGAACGAGAAAATAGAACAAATTCGCATAAAACAAAACGGTCTGTAAATCTCTTGAACAAACTTGTTGGCTTCCCTTCAACTGCAGTCAGCATAGAGATCTCTTCGATTTGGTTGGAAAGTTTGAAAGTTTTTTGCAAAACTTTTGAAATTAAATTACTGTGTTTGTTTCACCAAAAAAATACCTTTCCAAAAAACAAAATCTATGTAAAATAGATAGTTTGTTATATCCAGTGCTAAATCATTTTTAGATCAATAGATAACTTGATAAGCTAATGATATTTTTTGTGTGTTTCAGTATATGGTTAACCAATATGTTAACTAATCGACTAAAAATAAATTAGACCAATTTTGCTATTTTTTTGCAGTACCTCAATCTATCATGAGCTAAAAGGTATTCGAGAATCAGTTCAACTGCTTGTTTAGGAGTATTGAGCTTTATGTATTTATGTGTATTAGTAATTATGTGTATTAAGTAGTGATTAGTTGTAACTAATACACTAGTTAGTTAGAAGTAGTTGTAGACACACGTGTGTCTATATATACATGTACATATCTGGAACCTTCTACACATAATGTGAATATACAATACATTTTCTATAGCTCTCTCTCTCTCTCTCTCTCTCTCTCTCTCTCTCTTCCACTTCATGGAGCTCATCACAGAACTCCATTGTTGCTCACCTTGAGCTCTCATCATCTTGACATGGTATCAGAGCATGGGAGCTCATAATCCTCGAAATTCTCGATTTTCATATCTACTTCTCTAATTTCTTCGATTTTTTCGATTTGCCCTAATTTCGAACAAAAATCGCGCAAGTCAGCGATTTGCTCTCAATTGTTCGCATTTTCTCGTTTGATTTCACCTCTGTTCTACACTCTTTCGTTCAATTTCATCTCCTTACCTTTAGAAGGCTATTCTCAATCAAAGTGACCCGACCGATGTCAGCGCACATGCAAGTGCAGTTGTGGCGGCCGGTGGAGTTACTAACGCTGGAGTTGACATTAACAGCCCTCTTTACCTTCATCTGTCTGATAACCCTAGAGCTATGCTGGTTTCTGCACCTTTTAATGGAATTGGATATCGCTCATGGCGGCGTAGTATTATGTGAGCCATGTCCGTTAAGAACAAGCTTGGTTTTATCAGTGGAGAGTGCAAACGGCCGGATTCTCAGTCTGCCGATTATCACCAGTGGGTGCAATGTGACGATATGGTCACTTCATGGATCCTTAATTCCCTTTCGAAGGACATCGCAGATAGTGTTGAGTATGCAAATAACGTTGTTGAGTTATGGACAGAACTGGAAGATCGTTACGAGCAAACTAATGGTGCTAGACTATATCAAATCCAGAAAGAAATAAATGATCTAACTGAGGGAGATCTCGATATCACGAACTATTACACCAAACTGAAGAAACTTTGGGAAGAATTGAGTAACCTGAGTATGAAAGCATAGTGCAATTGTCAGTGTTATTGTGGTACTAAGGAAAAATTATACAAGGCAGAGCAGGATAGGCGCTTAATCCAATTTCTTATGGGGCTTAACGAGATGTACACAGTAGTGCGTGGAAGCATCTTAATGATGAATCCTCTTCCTTTATTAGCACAAGCTTTTTCCTTACTCATTCAGGATGAGAAACCAAGGGAGATGCGACCCTCCAATCAACTGGTTTTTGAATCGACTTCTCTTCACGTGAATGCACAGGGAAATGTCAACTCTAATACTCAAGCGAATGCTAACTTCAGAACAAACTATCGTGGAAATAATCAGTCCATTGGAGGCAGAACTTCACGTCCTTTTTGTGATTATTGCAAAACTGTAGGACACACTAGAGATAGATGTTACAAACTGCATGGCTATCTGCAGACTCCAAATCCTAGAGCTAATACCAAAGGGAAACGTATCATGGCTAATGCACATGCCGCACCTACTGAGGAATTGTCTATTAAGGAAGATGGTTCAAGCTCACAGGACAAACAGCACAATGTGGCAACTATCGGAATCACAAAGGAGCAGTATGGTTAGTTAGTAAACCTGCTTCAATATCTTCAAAGCACCAATGGAGAGGACTCTGCTGACACTCACTTGAGCAGTGGAGCAGTCAATTTCGCAGGTATTATAACTTGCTCCTTTTCTGTCAGTCATGGCAATTCTAATTGTAAACATTTCAGAACTATGTCTGACACATGGATAGTGGATTCTGGTGCCTCACACCATATGACATACAATAAATCTCTCTTCCTTGAAACTAAACCTTTGTGTTATCTGTTAGTCACACTTCCAAATGGTTATAAGGTCAAGGTGACAGATGTTGGTAGTGGTTGCACTTACATCTCAAATCATCTTACATAAAGTTCTCTTTGTCCGTACTTTTAAATTCAACATCATTTATGTCTCCTCTATGACTGCATATCTAAACTCTCTGATTGCCTTTACTGCTTCTTCTTGTCTGCTGCAGGCCCCTTCAATGAAGAGGCCTCTGGTGATTGGTAAGATCAAAGGTGGTATGTATCTCCTATGCTCTCATTGCTTGGGTAATGGTAGCTCAATTTCTAATATTTCTGCTTCCTCTACTCCACTTCCTTATTGTGATGTAAATACTCCACAGTAAATCTCTTTCACCTGCAAATAGTTCCACTACTTTGCATTCTTTTAATTTGTCTCAATGTTCTTCTATACCTCATGATAATAATGTGGATGTGTTGTAGCATAACAGACTTGAGCATGTCCCTTTTGTTAAGATGAGAAGCATTTCCACTAGGGATGGCAAGCGGTGCGGTGCGGTTGCGGGGCGAACCCGCATAAACCCGCAAAGATTTTAACCCACCCCGCCCCGCGTAGCATTTTCACCCGCGTTCACCCGCCCCACACATACCCGCGTCCACCCGCCCCGCCCCGCCCCGGACCCCGCCCCGCCCCGCATAAGTTTTTTATTTTATGTTGTTTGCATATTTCTATTTTATATTTTGGCTGAAATTTTCAATTTAATCAACCAAAAATTTGAAAGTTCTTTTGTTGCTTATGTACTAATTCTTCAATTTAAAAAAAAAAAAGAATTTGTTGCTCATTGTGAAAAGCAGATGACCCCTTATGTATTAATTTAGTATTCATTGTAAAATAGTATTTACATTCCTATAATATTATTTTAAATATTCCTTGATGACTTGTGTGTAACCCAATAATAAAATTAATTTGTTTGAGTCAGCTAAATTTTTTTGACCCTGAAGGAAGTTCAACAGGAAAGTAAAAAAAAAAAAAGTCCGCTTTGATCAAAAAAATATTAAGCACGGAGTATTATATTTGTCTTTCCGAAACAAAAGTCTATAAAAGACCATAACTTGAAGTTATCATCGAACTTAAAAAGAATAAGAAGAAAACTTACTTAAACCTGCATGACCCACAACCCGCATCAATTTTTATGAAAAAGTATTTCAACCCACCCCGTCCCGCACCCGCATAACTGTAAACCCACCCCGCCCTGCATAGCCTTAAACCCGCACCGCCCTGCACCTGCACTGCCCCATTTTCCATCCCTAATTTCCACTATACTAGTCACTTCTTCTTCTAAACAACCTTTCCTTGGCCCCATTTGTCCCATGGCCAGACAGTCCAGATTGCCCTTTCCCAAAGATCCAACATTTCCACCAAGCCATTTGAGCTTTTACACGTGGATCTGTGGGGTCCTTATCATGTCCTAACCAATAAAAATCAGAAATACTTCCTCACTATAGTGGATGACTATAGTAGAGCCACATGGACTCACTTATAGCCCGTTTGGCCAAGCTGCAAAAATCAGCTTATTTTGAGAAGTGCTTTTTTTCAAAAATGCTTTTCTCAAAAGTACTTTTGGTGAGAAGCAGTTTGTGTTTCGCTAATTAGTTTGAAAAGCACTTCTGAGCAGCAATTAGTGTTTGGCCAAGCTTTAAAAAACTGCTTCTAAGTGTATTTTTCTCAAAAGTGCTTCTCAAAAAAGTGCTTTTGGAGAGAAGCTACTTTTTTCTGCTTCTCCAAAACTGCTTTTGCTTCTCCTCAAAAGTACTTTTTTTCCTTCCAAAAGCTTGGCCAAACACCTCAATTTTTTGCCAAAAGTGCTTTTGGCCAAAAAAAGCACTTTTGACCAAAAAGAAGCTTGGTCAAACAGGCTATTACTAAGTTGCAAGAGCAATGCCCTCCAAATCATCCAAGCCTTTGTATCTCTAATTGAAACTCAATTTCAGAAGTCCATTCTAACTATAAGATCTGATAATGGACTGGAATTCACTTGCACATAAGCTACTCTATTTTTCCAATCCAAAGGTATAATTCATCAAAAGACTTGTTCTTACACCCCACAACAGAATGGGGTGGTAGAACGAAAATACAAGTACCTTTTTTAAACTGCCAGGGCCCTGTTTTTCCAATCAAAGTTGCCTTTGAACTTCTGGGGAGAATGTATCCTTACTGCAACCTATCTTATAAA